CTCCTAGCCTAATGCATGAGCTGTGACCATAAAGAGAGAGACTACAGCACAAAACAAACTGCAATCCACTTTTCAAACATAAGGCGATGTGTGACGGCATGTCACTATCCCTATATAATAGAATGACTGACTGTACTACGGGCTAAAACAAATGGCTAGGAGGCCGAGCATCTACGTCCACGCGGTGAATAAGATTACGCGAGCAGGAATGGTGGAGTCGACATACCGTCTAATACAAGCACATATCCGTGTGTCCCTTCAGTGTGCGGAAAGAACACGTCGAATAACACTTGAGGAGAGCAGCCTTAAAAAATTCATCAGAAGTTTAATCTGCAGAGCACATTTTCTTATATCCCAGTGGATCGGATCTGGCTAGTACGCCGTTATTATCCGCATATAATAGATACATGCTCCCTGCAATTGTTTGTTTTCGTCCTATAAATTTTTTCAATGAAAATATACAACTAAATATACCCTCCGTTTCTACTCCAGATTGGTTCTGTTTCATCGAATGGCTCTTAAAAATTCGTTATGCATATTTTACCAAGTATATCAAGTTACACTAACTAGATCACAAAAAAGAAGGAAAAAATTTAACTGCTACTCAAATAGGAAGTATCAAAAAAACTTACATGGTATGGTTATTGAGATTTAAGGACAAACAGTATTTTCCCGACAGCAGGGCTCGCACCCACACGTCCTGCCTCAAAAATCTAAAACCAAAGTACACACACGCTACAGGGTGTACTTCCTCCGGGACACGGAATTTTAAAGCAAAGCACATGAAAGACACAAAAATAGGTTTATTTGAGGGTCTTCACATGATAAATGCATGGTCTTTTTTATGGTTCATGCATCCATATACACGAATGTAGCCTCACACTTCTGTTCGGTGTAAGGTTTCGGGTATTTTGAAATAAATACACCTTACTAAAAGTATTACCAAAGGAGCTAGTATGAAATGTTTAGGACAAAAATAAGGGCATCCGTTAAACTCTTCAGACGAAAAATCTCCTCCATACTTTGATTAAAGTAGTATGACGAAACCCCACACATGCCGCTAATGTCACCCCAACTGACTAATGCAGCGTATGTATACGTAGGTGAACTCTGAATCAGGCATCAACGATTCATCGAAGCACAACATCTACCGATTGCCCATAGAGCGAAATAACTTATCGATTGCATTTTATGCAGATCGCAAAGATATATAAGCAGCCACAGTTTCATTACATAGTTTTCGTTTCAAACGTTGTCCTTGAATCGTCTGCACTGCAGCTGAAGATATCATTTAACTTTTCAAACCTTGTCCTCATCGGATCCACTCACGTACAAGTCGTTTTTTTATATGTTAGACATCTACACCGTCGTGATGAACAAAGTCCTGCTTAACACTCTGCTCATCATCGCAATGTTCTTCATTGGTATGTCATTTTTGGATAATGAGTCTGTCACATATTGCCCTTGCCGTTGGCGTTAATATAAAACACCTTGTGGTTTTTATTTTTACTTAAAGCCTGCAATGGAGAAGCCGAAATAGAAGCACCCGGAGAAGGAGACACAGGCAAGAACACTACTACCACAATAGCGGATTCTTCCGTGATCACAGCAGCTCAGTTAGACACAGCCAGTGGTGTTTCGGCCTTAGTGCTGGTCCAGGCTTGCTTTATGTCACTCCCTCTTGTCCTGCTCGCCAACCGCTAAGCTTTTGCAAGAAAGCCCTTCGAGGTCCCCAGTGTATTTTGCTTAATAAATGCGCTTTCCTTAATACTTCATGTCGATTTTGCTTTAAACAATACGCGGGCCTTCTGTGGTGGGATGTGATTATAGGAGTTAAGGCTAAGACGGTTAACCCTAAGACCTACAATCTTCCAGGCCCGGTTTCTTAGGAGGTGGAAGAAGTCTTGGGAAGGCCAGAGTAGAAGGAATAGTTTATTGTGTACACAAAGGAACGAAGAATAGGTTGAGGGAAGTTGGACCTCCGAGCACACGTCATCCCGCCGGAGCGCCGTGGTCCTAAGTGACGTCTGTGGCCGAGAATGGGGAAAAAGGGACTTGTTCGAGTGGTGCTTTGCGGT